CCCTTCTCCCTGAGGGCATCTACCCATCCCACCAGATTAGATAGGGTGAGCTCACTCCAGCTCCCTTCCCTTAAATACTGTCATCTGGTGGGACCTAGGAAGTAAGTACGGGCCTTTTCCGTAGTGACACCTACCCTATGGAACAGCCTCCCCACAAGATACAGGAGGTGTCTACTCTCCTTGCCTTCCGAAGGCCATTAAGACCTGTTGTTGTTTTTCTCCCAGGCATTGGGTCAGGATGGGAGATGAGTCCACCATTTGTGTTATTGATATGGCACCTGGTGGCATGTAAGACTTTTTAATGTTGTTGTATTTTTTGTTATTTATATATTCGGTTGTTAGCTGCCTTGGGTTATTTTATATAAAGCGGGCAGTCATATATTTTTTAAAAAGATGTTACCTAGCCAGGTAATGAAACGTTTGCAAGAAGAGAACCAAGCTCAGAGAACTCCAAGGACTTCACAGTTCAACCCTGAACTACACATATTCACCTCTATGGGTAATGCTGTTATGAAGGTGGTCTTCATTTTCACTCCAAAATATTCCTAATCAGCTGGAGTGGAAAATGACTGTAGCAAATATATTATAAGCATTTAAACAACCAACTTGATTTTCACACATGATTATTTACGTTTAACTCAGATATTTGTTGCACATCAAGTGTTCGTCCCCATAATCAAGCATTTGTATACAGAAATAATGCCTATTTCCAGCAATGAAATAGCACTCTCAAAAAGCCTTTCTCTGGAAAACCAGATTTAATGCCTTCAGTAACATTCCATTAGAAAGAAATAAATGAGACGATTACACTTTAGCTAGCAATGTGGAAAGTAATTTAAAAGAGTATTTAAATATGAGGGAAATAGTGGTTTAATCATTCCAGCCATCTAGAATATTAATTAATTTTTACATTAATGCAGAGCTGCTTCAATATACATGAAAATGAAAGAAGGAACAGAAAAAACAGTTGCTCATTTTTCAACAAGGAATAAACAAAGTTTTTACATTTATATTCTTCGAAAGATGTGTACAAAACTCATTGGTTCAATAAGCTATTACAGCATGACTGCTAATTACTTAAATTAAATATGCAAAATACTTGGAGGTGGGCCTAACCAAGTTATTTTAATGGCAACCAAACCTAATTATCCTGGAATCTCAGTATTTAATCTTTTATCTGTGCTTTTCAGATAATAGTAAGGGTATTTAGAAAAATACCTCAAAAATTAGTGAGTGAGTTAGTTGTTGACTGTATTCTTAGCAGTTCTTCTTTTGCCTTCTGGCATATCTCAAAGCAGATGAGATCAAACCATCAAGATCAGCCTTCCTTCTTTTTGAGATAGAACTTCCCATTCTGAACTCATTGCAGTTTGTAGAACATACTGTTGCTACAAATCACTGCACTGAAAGGTTGAAAAAAAATCCAGGGAGGAAAAATAGCCCACCCAACATAAGAAATGCAACTAGGATTTTACTGAATTCTGCCATTTTTTCCATGTAACCCTTTCAGTCCAGCAGGTATTCCTACTTCACCCCATTCCCAATATATATAGCAGATTCAAGGGCAGAGTGTGAAAACTTGAAATCAAATATGTCTTTTCCTGGAATTGCATGTCAGCTGTAGAGGGTAGCCATGCCAACCCAGGAAAGGTGCAGTTCCTTTAAGGAGTTCCTGAAAGATGTTACGTGCACACCCACACATTTTCCAAATCACCTTTGAATCTGGATCTCCGCACCTTCTAATATACAGTAATTACAGCATTCAGGGTCTTCTCATCTCCTGATTCCACTTACCAATAGGGGAAAGAAACCCTCTATTTATTTAAACAGGCTCTACATCATTCAGACCACCATAGATTAATTGGTAGGGTAATGTAGGCTAAGCTATGATTAACCAAATCCTGGTTTGTTAGGGAAAAAACACAACGGTGGAGTTCGTATAATAACCCAAGGAACATACCAAGCAAGTCAAACTGTGGCTAAATGGGATGTGTAGACCTAGGTTTTCATCTGAAAAGCAGGAGGTTCCCATTGAGAACAGCTGAACTCCATGATGCCAAAACTGACACCCTGGCAACTAAGCAGCAGACAGGACAGGTGGCCTTAAAATACTACTGTATTAACACAAGTTTTCATCCACACACAAAATAGATCCACCAGACACTCTCTGTTTCCCTGAATCTTCCAAACAAGCAATGTATTTACTATAATGCATGACAGCATCTTTCTGGGTTTAATTTCAAAGTACCAAGGTATTATTATCACAGCAAATCATTTTCATGAATTACATACTGATATCTCTTTAAGCGTATGTTTACGCTATATCAAGCTTGAAACAAAGGCTAATATAGAGAAAGCTGCTATCATTCATACTAAAATATGCTTTTTGTTTTGCTTTTCTTGTTTCTCTTTCTCACATACATATACACACACTCAAGAAATAAAGTATATTGGATTGCCCAAAGTACACAAAAGATGTTTGTCTGCAAATACAAGTTAGCTAAAACATTGTAAATGATACAATATGATGGGAACATTTTTTAAGACTGTCCCATAATTGTTAAATGGCCTTTATATAATACTTACTTCATAATGCATTGAATCAGGAAAAAAAATACAGAGTCATATTTCAGTGAAAAGCAGAGATCAGTCCATGTTCAGTTAGAGTCACACGTTGACCTCCAATCTGCTCACCACAGATCCAAAGTGATATAGTTATCCATCTTGCTTACTCTTTTGAAGGGCATCAGCTAGAACAGAGTCATATTTCTTTGTTGCATTCATTTATATTTCTCATATTATTGAATTCACTAAGATCACACTACTGCTGCCAAAAATAACATTGCTGCTACTTCAGTTAGTTTCAATAGCAGTGGTCAAAACATATGAATCTCAAAACAGATTAATAAAGTGTTTAAAAGGTTTTTTTTTAAAGAGAAAAATGTACCTCCCTGCTTAATGTAAAGGTATTTAAGCAGGCATGACTTCTGCACTGATTTATCAGATTGATAAAACTGCCTAGCTCCATGGCAATGAAATGCATTTAAGAACCAGAGTACCACCACTTCTTTTCCACTGACCTCCATTATCCAGAAAAGACTGTTATCCAAAGAAATCATATGAATGTATTTCAGCGCAGAAGTTCTCCTGCATTTTTTTAACCACCTCAATTTCATGGGGAAAAAAATGCTTCAGAAATTCCTTGAAAGATGAAGAGAATTTTAGAGAAATGTTCATGGATAAACTATGCTTTTCCTAAAGTTGCTCAGTTTTGAGGTGGACAAGAAGTGTGTGTGAACAGCCTGTCTTAAACTCTACTATCATTTCTGTAGAAGTTAGCTGCTTCTATGCTAAATGACACCTAAGGGAAAACATAACAAGGGAAGTCCGTATTAGGCTTTTTCAGTGTCTGCGCTATTGTTGCTGCTAAGGGGGAATCCTGCTGGGACAAAAGGTACTAAAGTTGTTAAAGACTAAAGGAGAAAAAAAACCCAGAATGTGCTGCCAAACTACCAATCATTGATAAAACTTCCTAAATGCTATAGAACTAAATGGAAGGTTAATAGATCCATGAGAAAGTTTATACATGGGGAAAGAGAGCAATGCACTCAGCAGCTGACAAAAGACAGGGAAAGATGAATTGTAAGGTCAAAGATAAGGGGGCACATTGAGAGGAAAAGGACCAGTGAACTGAGAAATTCAAATACGAAAGCCTTGCTGACTGGATTTGGCTGATGGGCTAGAGATTCTGTATGCATGCAAAAGCAGAACAAGAATCTGTATTTCCAGTTGAAATGTATTCATAACATAGACATGATAAAAAAAAGAAATCATGATTATAAGGAAAATCTGGATAGAGTGTTCTCTCCCACACAAAATTTTAGAACTTGGGGTCATTTGGTCAAGACTGATAAAGGGAAATACTGCATGATTAAACCAAAATGTGCACCCATCAGATGTGTGATAGCCACTGATTTAAAATAATTGGACAAATTCATGAAAGAATGGGATGTCAGTAACACAGCTTTCTACCTCCTGAATCACAAGTAGCATTCCTGAAATAGTAGCTGCTGGAGAACAACAGTGGAATAGGGCTACCCCCTTCCTCTCTATGCTTTTGGGCCCTTGGGTGACATAACACAATGAACCAGCATGATCCACCAGACCCCACAGGGCTCTTCCTAGGTTCAAGTAATAGGAACCTTTATCAACCCCTCCTTCTACAGCACCCACCAATGATTTGATTCACAGGAAAGTTCCTGGAAAAATCCTTGGAATATTTTTTAGAGGTGAAGGCAACTGAAGGAAATGGTGGGTGATGCGCAGAGCTGTTCATTCTTTTCTACATGGTATCATTCTCTTCAGCATAGTATCCCATCAATGCTGATTTCTCACTGATATGGAGCTGAAAACCTATTATCCAAATGGGAGAAAAAGCACAGGGAGGGCAATTTTGGCTGACAGAAGCCTGAAGGGAGAGATGTAAATGGCAATTTACCTCTAACTCTCCTACAGCCTCAACTGAAAAAATATTTGCAAATGTATATGCTGCCTATTTCCAAATGGTTCTAGGTGGCTTACAAATGTAAACCTTAAAAATCATGAGGTCAGCAGCAATAAAAAAAAAAAAAAATGAAACTGCAAAGGCCTGAATACAAAGATATATTCTGAGCCCCCTCCTAAGTGGGTAAACTGATGGTCATTGCTGAACACATCCATGGTGGGACTGGCAAAAAGTGCTCCATCAAAGATCTAAAAGTGGGGAATAGGTACTTATACAGGTAACTTGGGCGTTAGCTATGAAAGTTAGTGAAAACCCTGATTTGACCTCAAAAAGCAAATGGTAACCAGCATGTTTCATCATAGAGTGATGTGACAGTTCCAAAAGGATTCCATTCTCTATCTGTGCTGTCACATTCCATTTCTGGGTGTTCTATGAAAAATAAACCAGCCATAAGGTTATCAGGGCATATGTCACCAACACCAGTTCTTTTTTACAGGGAGAAGCCAGCCTTATCAGCCAAAGCAAAAGTGATAAACGACCTTGCCACAGATGTCATATGGCTCTCCAATGGCACTGCCAGATTCACAAGGTTCCCCCGACTGCAAACTATCACCTCAAAGAAAATCAAATCATCAGCATTATTTTCTCACCTATTAAGAGTCAGCTTCACACTTAGTAGCTGAATAGAAATTACTGCTTTGTAAAAATAAGGAAGTTATGTTGGGGACAGCTGAAAAAAATAATTGAGCTAAATCACAGAATAGTCAGTTACTAAATCATTTATTCATATAATAAATAGCTTTGCTTTTTGCTGTCATAAAGGTATCAATTGATAGGAGTACCAGAAAGCATATTGAAGAAAGAACATGTTCTGGTTAACCATAAAAAGCCACCACATATCACTACAGTGAAGAATGCAGCATTCAAATTTCTAAGTAGAGAGAGGAGAAAAAAATACTGTATAGTATCAGGAAGGGAGATTATGCTCAGAATGTAAAATCTGAGTAAGCAAATATCTGAATTGAAGTCCCAACCGTTTTTCCAAGAGATAATGAAAAGAAGTTTAATTGGGGATTGGGGGAAGGGAAATGGAATTATATTTGTATCACTCTTTATAAGGTGAAGATTGAAGATAGACTGGAGGAAGGAGATTTAAATTGGGTGCAGAAATCACCAACTAATTAGTAGCAGGCACGGTGTATTAAATGAATGAAGAGTATCAAAGATATCAAAAACATAATTAAGTCATTCAAAAAGCATAATTATCAGCAGATACATGCAGTTTATAGTGGGACTGAATGTAAATTAAATGATTTTGCTCTAGCTAATTATTTTTCACTACGAAGCTGTAGCTCCTGCAACGGTTCACATAGTAAATTAAAATAGATTTCTGGGATATAAGCATGTTGGGCAGATTGATGAGCAGAGGCTCTAACATTTTTTTGATGTATTGTCTAATATCAGTGAAGATTATAAAAATATGACTGTGATGACATATCTCAGTGTGATTAGTTTTGTCACTCTGTATCAGGGGTGTTAATCTTAGGAAACTGCATGGAAGCAAAGGGACATTGATCCTGGGGCTTAGAGTATATAACATTGTCTTGCATTATTACAAGTGCCACTCACTAAGTGTGTCACTGCACAATATGGAGCTCATAGCTAGAATCTAATAAATAATAAATACATAGATCCCAGATAAGTAGATGGATGGATGGATGGATCCTAGATCCCATATCAATTGTTTTTATATAGGAATCAGCTGAAATATGTATAAATATGTATAAATATGTATACCCCAGTATAGCTATATGCACTCTAAACCAAAATTAAAGCATTACTAATACAATATGAGCTGGGTTTATCTAAGCTATAATGAATCTACCATCTTGTACACATTTACCAGATTCTAGGGTTCCCGACTTGGCATACGGGGATGCCACTGTGCCCACAGAGACAACTGGTGATTCTTGTCAAGCTCCAAGCACAACCTGGCTTTTTCATATTATTCTGAGGCCATATTCTAACAGTCTCTAGCACAATCTTTATTTCCACGAATGCCTCTGAGCTTCAAAAAGGCCCTATAAGCTTAGAAAATATAAATAATGGGTGGCTGTAACCTTGTGCTTTGTTTCTAAGAAAAGGGACAAAGCAAGGCAGGGATAAAGGAAGCATCCTGCAAATAGGGGAAGGAGAGTAGAGAGTATGACTAGTAGTATTTTAGGAAATCTGTTTTGTAATTGGCTACT